ACCCTGTTGAATAGGGTTGCTATAACTTGGAATGAACTTAATGGCAGTGAGCTTGCTTCCATTAACACTTAGAAGCATTATTAAATACTCAATTGTACCACAGACAGGAGCTTTTCAAAATCAATTCATCCTCTTCCCGATACTGGAGTGTTCCCTTAGGTAGGTTTGTGTTTGCCATGTGAAACAAGTCGAGCAACATTTTTTTAGAAACGAAGCAAACTGTTCTGTAAATAGATGAACCATTTATATGCTGAGTAAACAGGCCTGAAGGATTTCACAGGAAAACCATGGGGACTGGAGTGGCAATACAATGTGTCCAAGAAGAAAAAAAAAAAAAGAAAAAAAAAGCAGCCATAAATTATGTGCTTTTGTTCACATGAGAATCATTCTGGGCAAACAATCATCAGGTTTGTGGGCACAGTGTACACTGCCACCTACGACAAAGGCGAAACCAGTGTGAACTGCAAAGGAATGATCTTAGTTGAAGAAATTACTGTGAGCAAAGGCACAAAAGCATTGGTAGCCCACTGGCTTTTCCTGAAAAGCAAAGCCTTCTCATCCAATAGAATCTTTAGTCAAAGTCTTACTGAATTACCCCGAGAGGTGGGTGGTGAAGCAGTACTGCAGGAGAAAAGACCATCGGTGCTGAAAGGGGTCACTAGCGGTCTCTAATTTTGTGGGTCCTTTTTGGGGGGAAGGTGGGGTGTAATAGGGGGCCTAGAGTGTATGGACTTCTTTAAGAAGCCAAGGAAAGCTATCCACTTTCTTCCCTCAGAAATATACAGAGGACACATTTAGGTATAATTTTCTGAAGTTCCATTTAGAAAGACTTGGACATCCTCATTTTACAAACCAGGAAATGAAATTCAGAAGGATTCCATTATTTGTCCAAGATCACAAACTGAGGGAAATAGCAAAGCCAAATTTTAAATAGGGCAGGAGTCCTGGCATACTTCAAGTTGAACTTCCCTACCATCTTTAGAAAAATTCTGTAATGGCCTATTCTTATGGTTGTTAGGGTCATCGAGTTAGTTCTCACCCGCAGCCACCCTCTGCCCAACAGAGGGAAGCACCACTGCCTGGTCCTGCACCGTCCTCACCATTATTGCTACTCTTGAGCTCATTGTTGCAGCTACTGCGGCCTTCGATCTGCTTGAGGGACTTCCCCTCCTTCAATGCCCCTCTACTTTGCCAAACATGATGTCCTTCTCTAGGGACTAGTCTCTCCTGACAACTAAACCAAAAAAATCACTCATATTTCAGTTTGATATAGGGAACTCAAAATGAGTTTTAGGATGAGCTGTGGATAAGAAATCCTGGTAATGCAAAAAACACTTTGTCATTAACCAAAAGGTTGGCCGTTTGAACCCACTCAGTAACTTCCAGGGGGAAGCCCTGGAGTTCCACTCCCATTAGGAATAAGACCTAGAAAACACTCGGAGCAGTTCTATTCTGTCATATAGGGTCCCTGTGAGCTGAAATCAACTTCATGGCACCTAATAACAGGCTAAAGATAGAAAAATGATCATTATGTCCTATACAAAAGTCCTGATAACTTTTATTTAAATAGCTATCACCTGGGATACTGGTCAAAAATGTTTAACCGTTCATGCCACCCAGGTACTCCTAATACTGCTGCTACCACCAATAATTAATATTATCAGGTGCTTACCACGCATCTAAGGATCCTGGTGGCACAGCAATGAAGACATTTGGCTGCTAACTGAAAAATCAGCATTTCAAACCCATCAGCTGCTCCACGGGGAGAAAGATGGGGCAGTCTGTTGTCATCAAGATTTATTGCCTTAGGGACTCTGGGGGGTGGGGGGTGGGGGGGCCTTGACTCTGTCCTACAGGGTCATATGAGGTGGATAGAGATGACAGTGGTATTTTTGGTTTACCATGTGACAGGTAAGCCACATACAATCACTTTAGGGATGCTAGGCATCTCTTTACTCTGGAGGTTGGTTATGAGTCAATGTTGTTAGCTGACATGAGTCAGATTTCATGTACAACAAAATACCATCCTCACCAAGGCCCGTGGTTATGGCTGTTGGGTCAAGGTGTTTCTCCTTTGCAAAGCCCTGCCGCTGTACCAAGCATGATGGCCTTTACCAGGCACTGGTCTCTCCTGATCACATAAGGAGCCTAGGAAATCACCCACCCCACCCTCCACCCTCCACTGCAAACAAACAAACAAAACCCCAAACCAAAGTCTGGTTCGACTCAGCAACTTTGGGGGACAGATGACTGCCCGGTTGGATGACTGCTCTGAGGCTGTAATCTTTGGGGACCCAGAAATCTATCTCCATGGAGTGGTGGTGGGTTCCATCCCCATCTGACCTTGGGGATAGAAGCCCCCAACAAATAATCCACTACGCCATCCAGGTTCCCTAACCTAAGAAATCCAGGCTGTGAAATGTGTAGGTCTTGATTCGACTAACAGGAGACCTGGTGGCATAGTGGTGATACGTTGGACTGGCTTACCACAGTTAGGCGGTTTGAAACCACCGGCGGCCCGGTAGAAGAAAAACGAGGCTTTGAAATGCTGAAGAGCTCCAATCGTGCAAACCCACAGGGTCAGTTCTACCCTGTCCTGTATGGTCGTTACGAGTTGGCATCCACTTGAGAGAAGTGAATTAAATGTTTTTTTAATTTAACTATGGAGCTGTGGTGGCATCATGGTTACACATTTCAAGCCACCAGCTGCTCCAAGGGAGAAAGACGAGGCTTTCTGTTCCTGTAAAGAGTTACAGTCTCACGAAACCGCAGGGGCAAGTCTACTCCGCTCTGAAAAGGTGGCTGTGAGTCAGAATCGGATCCATGGGAGGGAAAATTGACCGTTATTCAAAGAAAAATGGTGTTCTTGGTCTTATTTTTCATGGACTTGAATTTTTTTCAAATAGCATATTAACAATTAGAATCCAGAGGAAATATAATAATTTCACTACAGGAACTGCTGAAATTCAATCGTTTCCTCTTTGGTCCACAGCTGAAAAGGGATCAAAACAAAAACAAACAACAACAAAGCAACTTGCTTCAGTTTCATTATTTGACAATACCTTTTCTTGGGCACCTCTCTTCTTTTTCCTCTTATTAATACTTTGCTATTTCTTGTGGTACCAATAATAGGTACAGCAGACTGTTAATGATATGACTAGAAAATCTTGAAAGGTGCCTAACATATCTATATCACTTGAAAACCTGTCTGGCTTTTGACAGGAAAAGGTACTTATTAAATCGTGTTTTTCAAGCACTTAGCAAATTATAACACATACAAGTAATTTTTCTTAAATATCATGTTTATCTGGGACATAGCTGGTCTGTGGTCAGAATAACCATTGCCTTCCAACTATTTATCATTAACCCCATATTTAAAATGTGGTCCTTGAGAGAGGTGACATCCTCCCCTACTCAGTCCCAGCTCCCCGTGCGATGGCAGCAAGGCCAGGAGAGTACAAATTCTGTCATGACTCAACTTTAGGGATAGGTTGGCGACTATATTAATGAACATCCATATAAAGCGATGCAACAAAGATACAATCAATCATTCTGAGAATTGAGATTAAATTGGAATCTAGACATTTTGGCCATAAATAAGGCTTTAATAGAATAGGCTATCTAGAGCAGTGTTCTTTAATTTGGTCTCAGAAACCTGTTGAAAATGGTGCTGTTTAGAACCCCAGACCTTATAGAATCGGTTTCTTAGATTGGAGCCCAGGCACCTTTGAAGAAGCATCACAAGTGATTCTGCTGTTTACCAATTTTTGAGAATGACTGGAGCATATATATTACTTCCTCAATCATCCAGCATATTCTACTCATAGACACAGCCTTTAGGATAGAAATACATTGCCTTTTTAGTATTGTTTCTTTGCTTGTGAACTAGTAAGCATTTTGAGGGAAAAGACTAGGATCTATGCATTTTTTAATTACTGCATCCTTTCTCCATGCCCATATCCAATATCTAGCTGGGCACACAGGAGGCAACCTCTGTGGCATTGCTCTAGTCAACAGTCCCTCAGGAAACCAGGTTGACACTTCTTCTTGTGCTGCCTCACAGAATACTTTTCTTTCAAAAAGAATCTACACACACGGTATGTATGCATGTGTGCTTCTCCTTCTAAATTAAGGTTAAAAAAGACAACAATCATGGTATTAAGCATGTGTTTTGAAGTTCAACTTTGAACTTAAAAAAAGCAAATACACTAGGAAATATACATGCAGAACAAGGAGCCCTTTTAATTCCATAAACTGCTAGCCTAGTAATACGTCTTTTCCTTTATCTACGCCATATTACAACCCTCATTTCCCCCTATTCTTTTACCATTTCCCACCTCTAGGCAATAGTCAAATAACTGCATGCAAATTAGTTGGCTTTTTGGAACCAGGAACTAAGAAAAATGCTTTTCAAACACTGTGCATCCTGAACATTAAATAGGCATGCAAAGTCATTGCTAGCTCTTGTGAGATGGGGGAAAGTATGCCTTCCAGATGTTGCCTTATGCCCTCCCTGAGGCCTACATCTAAAGAGAGGCATGGTGTGAGAGAAATGGAGCATGCAGCTGGCGGGGACTAGTGGCATGTTCCAGTGACAGTGAGTGTGACAGAAGTGGGGAAGGGGTCCATTCAACATGTGGGTCTCAACTGTGTAGTTCACTGGGAACAAACACCAATCCATTTGCAACAGCATCTTCATGCTGTTTGAAGATTGTTTGAAGCTCTGACCCTCTTTTGTTAACCTTGTGAGAAAAAAATTAGGGGGATAATATGACAAAAACAGTTGCTGTTGTGGTTTGTGTGCAATGAGCCAATTGTAACAATAAATATACCACGGCCTTAGAAATCTATCTGTATTCTATAACCCTCTAGAGTAATTCAATTAATCCTTTACTTTTCTTAGAAAAAGAAACCTTTTTTTCTGGAGGGGTGGGACCCTGAATAGTTTATAAGTAAGCACAAGGAAAGAGTCACAGTTATTGAAAGCATTGTTTACTTACCAATTTTGTAACGTCTTTCACATCATCAGTGATGTGATGCTTGCAGACTCCTTTAGTTTTGACGAGAGGATTAAATAGGAGCAGTTGAAGATAAATGCAAGTGATAATCCAAGTCTAAATGAAAATAGAAAAGAAAAATTGGTGGTTGACCTTCCGTTAAAATCTGTAATCATTCCAACTATGAACATCTTATGCCTTGATGTAGAAAAAGTCAATTTATCATATTAAAAAAAAACCCTACTAGCTTAAATACAAATAATGCTGAGTATCCAAACTCTGCTGACCAAATTTTAAAATAGCTTAATGAAAATATGGCTTGAATTATTCATTTCAAAGGTGTGTTGCATTGTTAACTTTTGTCGAACACTGCCTATTGCCCAATTTCCTAATGGAAATTAGGAATGAACTTGTAGCAACAAGTAATGGATTTATCACTAAGAGTGTCTTCTAAAAAGTAGGGAATGCATGAAATTTGTACCTTAAGGCACCAAGGGGAAATTTCTGTCTCTAAGTATCGACTCTTTGGCAAGTAGCAGCATAGCAGCCCTTGAGCGGTGCTTTAATCCAATAGTCTAAAACAGTACTCTGAGTTAAAGTGATGGAGAAAGGTATGTTTTTAGATTGAGGGCAGAATTTAACTCAATTTGTTAGACAGCAAAAGGTCATTCTTTTGAAATACAATTTTTTAACTGTTTTTAGATAACGTAAAGAATATTTCCTTAGCCAACAGATAGGCATTTTTGAATCCTAATAAGATGTAATGACTCCTATTTATAAACCATAGGTATATGGCTTATAAACCATCGCCAAGGTGATTCCAACTCAGTGACGCTACATGCATTCGAACTAGATGCCGTCCAGTCTTGTGCGACCCTCACAATCATGGCTCTGCCTGAGCCATTATGACGATCCGTTTTGTTGAGGGTCTTCTCTGACACGGATCCTCTGCTTCACAAACAATGATATCTTTCTCCAGGGACTGGTCCCCTCTAGATAATGTGCACAAAACGATGTGAGCTGGCTGTACTTTCTTCTGAAACCCATTTTTTGGTTGTTGTCCTCCTGAAATCCATGGTACTTTCAACGTTGTTCACTAACACCAGAGTTCAAAGGCATCGATTCTTCCTCAGTCTTCTTTATTCAATGCGCCCCTCGCACAAGTACGTGATGTAACTGAGAACATCATACACCGTTGGAGAAAGCACACTTCTGTAACCATTGAAAGGGCTGTTTTGTAGTAGATTTGTCCAGTGCACTGTGTTGCTCGATTTCTTGCCTCTGCTTCCATTGCCATGACCGGCTGAATCCTTGATCATCGGATTCAAGGTATCTTCACTTACAAACCATAAACATACAGATACGTGAGAGGGCTTCAAAAAGTTTGTAGAAAACTTGCATTATCTTTAATTCAATTTTTCCACAAACTTTTTGAAATATTTATACAGAGAGAGAGAGAGAGAGAGAGAAGTCCTGGCGATTACTCACTGGGCTGCTAACTGCAAACTAACCCACAGTTGAAACGAGCCACCACTCGGCAGGAGGAAGACAAGATTGAGAGCGGCACAGTCTTGCAAACCCACAGGGCGGTTCTACCCTGTTCTCTTGGGTCACCCTGAGTCGGAAGCAACTCAATGGCAGTGAGGGAGTGATATCTACTTTACACTTCCTACCAGGAATTATGGCTCCCTGGCGGTGTAGTGGTTATGCTTTGGGCTGAGATCCAGATGGTTTAAAACCACCAGCAGCTCCCCCAAAGAAAGACGAGGCTTTCTACTCCTGCATCCACTTAACAGTCTTGGAAACCACAGCGGCTTTGAGTCAGCAATGACTCGATGCTATGAGTTTTGGGGATCTTGAATTAGAGACTCCCAAGGTAGTCCACCCAGTGATACCCAGCCAAAAAAAAATTAAAAAAAGGTCGGGGGAGGGGAGGTGGGGCTGGTGCTGTACTTCTGAGAACATACAGTTCGACTCTGACACACATGAAGTGCTAGGGTCAGAATTGATCACATGGTGACTGCACTTCACCAGGTACTGTAGCCATGTTCATGCATGATGTATTTTTCCCTTATTACACTATAAGTTGACTGCCGGTTTTCAAGAATTGGGGCATCTGTTTTTTCCCCCCACAGTATCTTTACAACACTTTATTTATGAAAGTCCTTCATGAATATTTGTTAGATGATTCAATGACTAATATGAGGAGGGTTCAAAAGGTTTGTGGAGAAATTTCTGATCTTTTAAGTCCATTTTTTTCCTATAAATTTCTTGAGGGTCCTTCTATAAAATTAGTCTAGTGCTCCAACTCAGTAAGTCCTCCTTGAAAGTTTATGAGTAGCAGTCACTAAGAAACAACGATGACAAAGACACCCTTGAAACTCAGAGGCAGGTAAATAAATAACAAGCAAGCCCTGTGACAAATGTTTGGGGAACACAGAGGAGGAAGTGATTGATCAATTAACCTTAAGTGGGAGGAGCCATGGCAGGAAGAGTGCCAAGAAAAGCCAGAGGCAAAAAAAGGTGACTCTGGGTGGATTTTGGAGGATAAGGAGAAAATTGCAAGAATCCATGAAGCAATGGCCAGCATTCCAGGAAAAAGAGACAGCACGGGCAATGCCATGGAGATGTGAGGATACCTGAAAATATGTGAGATCTATTTAATAAGCTCACAATCGCCTGTGACCTCCTCCCATTGCACAAGAGCCCAGCTGTGCATCGCTAGGGCCCTTTCCTCTTCAGTTAACTACGCATATATTAAAAAGCAAATGAGATTTTACTTCCAATTAATATCAGCAAGCTAACTGACATGTACACTGAGCCAAAGTTTCATTTGCTAGCATGTCTAGGATTACAAGCTGTCCTACACAGATACGGTGGCTTGTAAACAAAATGAAAGCCATTTTATTGAGTTTTACCAATCCATGTTGCTTTACCACTGTAGTCAATTTCAGCAGTAATTTCACTTAAGGCTACTTTGAGCACTATGGTTTCAAACCTTTATCTCATGTGCCTATTGAATAGTTCAAACTGATAAGCACATGTTCGGGATTTTTTAAGAGAATGACAAGAAAGGGTATGGTGGAACCTAGAGTGTGGCCCTGGCTGTATCTGACACTCTCCATTACAGCCTCACAAAGCCAGCTCTGTCAGTTGTGCCCCTGGATTTTACCAGGCACTGAAGGGGCAGCTCAGAATCTCCAAGCAAAAGCAAACTTGGAATTGGAATATAAAGATTAACTCAAAAGGCCAAGACAACTGAAATTTATCAGCAAATCGGTACTTTTATGATACTTCTGCAGTTAAAAAACAAACAATCTATTGCCAGAAATTTGACTTGGGTTCATAGAGACATTATAGGACAGAGTAGAATTATCGCAGAGGGCTTGTTCCAAGGCTTGAGGTTTTCTGGAAGTCGACCGCCATTTCTTTCCCTCGAAGTGACTGGTGGCTTGAGCCTTAACCTTTCAGTTAGTAGCTAAGCACTTAACCATTGAGCCACCAGGGCTCCTTAATTTTGCAAGGAGCTCAGGAACATATTAGTGGACCTTTCTCCCCACATAACCAAGGCTGAGACATTCTTACCCCTACAGCAGACACATACATTTATGAGACTCAGCACGCTCCTAGCACCTTCCTCCTCGTCATCATTCAAAACTTCCAGCCATGAAGTCCACTCCAACTCTTTAACTCCTTTGCTGCCCTGAGTCAATTCCAAGGCATGGTGCCGCCACAGAGCAGAGGAGAACTGCCCTGTGTATTTGAGACTATAGATCTTCACTGGGAGAAAGCCTCTCTTTCTCTCGAAGAGTGGGACGGCCTAATGATATGCAATGACTATGCCACCGGGGCTCAAAGGGCTGCTGAGGCTGATTAGATATATGCCCTGGTGCTGTAGTGGGCTACCCCTTGATCTCATTGCAAAGTGAAGAGAAATCACCAGGGAGAAAGACAGGGGTTTTCTACTCCTGCAAAGATTTAGTCTCGATAATGCACAGAGCAAGTCTACTCTGTCCTATAGGGACACTATGAGTCAGAATCAACTGCCAGTGAATATTTGAGTATTTTCTCCCCTCATTTTATATATATATATATATATATATACAAATTTCTTCAGCAGTGAGAGTGTAAATCCTTATGGGAGCAGAAAGCCTCATCTTTCTCCCAAGGAGGGGTTGGTGGATTCAAACTGCTGACCTTGAATCTCTAAAACAGCACTCATTTACACAGTTGTATAAGGGAGACTTCTCTCTATGAATACATAAAAGTACAAACTTCTATCTATTAATAGACTCTCCTCTATTCATACAATCATTTCTTTCATGAATATAGTGGAGCCCTGATGGCATAGTGGTTATGAATTTAGTTCCATAAAGTGTTGTCTCAGAAACTCATGGCTGATTTTATAGATACATGAGCCATTGGAAACCCTATGAAATACAACGAACACATATGGGATCACCAGGAGTCAGTATTGATCAAAGGCAACTGGTATTTAAATTTCTTTTGGATAGCTAGTTGTGAAGCCTAACTGCAGTGAAGTGGCATTTCTTAACTATGGCTCTTCTTTTATGCCTCTGTACTTCCTAACAAGCAGAGAAGCAGAGTGTCATGGGAGGAATGGATGGTGTCCAAACAGGGTAAAAGAAGGTTGGAGAGAGGACCTCTGCCTTGTGGCCTTGGGGTTGTATTCTCCTTCTCCCTGTGTATTCAAAGGAGGTAAAATAAAACCTCCTGCAGTTAATTTACCAACCATTTCCCAGGCCCTCTTTTCTGATGATTTGGGAAGCTTCACCAAGCGTCTCTATAGAGGGCCATTTTCACTCCTAGTTAGCATTCTAGGACCCAAGAAATATACAGATAAGAACTCCGTCACTTGTTTACACCACACTTTAGGCCTGGGATTGAATAAACACTAAACAAATATTTGTTCCTTCATTTATTCAATTAGTATTTATTGGGCACCTACAGTGTACCAGGCCTCTCTCTATCAGTGGTTCTCAAACGTCCTAACGCAGTGGCCCTTTAATACAGTTCCTCAGGTTGCGGTGACCCCCCCGCCCCCAACCAGAAAATTATTTTCATTGGTACTTCGTAACTGTAATTCTGCTACTGTT